CACCCCTGCCCTGGTGCCTCCACCCCTGCCCTAGTGCCCCCACTTCTGCCCCAGTGCACTCCCTTCCCTTTGCTGGGTGGGAGCCCTGCAGGCACAACTTTGGCCTTGCACCTTTGCATGTGGGCCCCAGTTCCCCACCTGCAGACCCCAGGAGGAGGGGGCACTGAGTGGGGGGCCAGGACACTGGCCGGCCCCAGCAGGATGGCTGATTCTCTGTGGGACAGGCGCCATGGCGTGTGCTGTAGCAAGAGCCACATTTAACCCTCACCACAGCCCTGGGTAAGGAACCAGGTCTGGAGTCCCCACCGTGGCCAAGGTCCACAGCTGCCTTCCAGGAATGTAACCCCATTCTGGACAGCCCTGCTCCCTACCCCTCAAATGAGCTTGGAGTGTGGGGGCTGCTGGGCTCTCCCGTGACGCTGTCATCGTCCCCCCATGGCCACCAGCTGCCAGAAGCCCCCAGCTCCTTGTCCTGGCGTGGGACCAGCAGGGCAGGGCCCCCTCCCCCACCCCGTTCCTGCCGCACGAGGTGGCCCCGCCCAGCAGGTGTGGGGGACCCCGGCGTGTGGCCTGTCCGCCTAGATAAGTGTGTGTTTGAAGCCAGGTGGGGTTATCGGGGCTGTGAGAGACTCATCCAGGTGCTCGGGGACACTCCTGGCAGGCGGTCTCATGCAGGGATGCCCCTAACTGTGCCCCGGCCAGGCTGACGGGTCTGTCCCCTGCAGGGGCCGGAGTCTTCTTCCTGTCCTCAGCCGAGGGGGAGCAGATCAGCTTCCTGTTTGACTGCATCGTCCGAGGCATCTCCCCCACCAAGGGCCCCTTTGGACTGCGGCCGGTTCTCCCAGGTGTGTGCCAGAGCGTGGCCTGACGGGAGGCTGCCAACAGGGCCCCTTGGCCTCTGCCCTGCTCCCCACATGCCCCTGAGCAGTGGCCGTGCTGGTGTCACTGCGACTCCTTGGGGCACAGCCCTTCCTCCATGGGTCTGAGCTGTTAGGATGCTCCGAGGCCACCGGTTCTGGTTGGGACAATTGTGTTGCTGCTGCCGCAGGCGGGTCAGCCAGAGGCCCGAGACCCTGGAGGAGGGCTCCTGGAGACCTTCTGAGCAGCCCCGTGTCCCAGAGTGGGGTGGGGGCCTTGCATGAGGTCACACGGACTGTGGGCTAGGGTCAGGACTGGCTCTGTCTGAGCCAGCATTGGGGCTGGAAGCCGCCTTGTGAGGTGGACTGGTGTGTGGGGTCTCGGCGTGCACGAGGGCAGGGAAGGGCTCCACAGAGCGTGCCTTGTCTTGTCCCACTGCTTCCCTGGTTGTGGCTGAGGCACCATTTGTCCAGATTCCTGGGCCAGGGACGGTGCTGAGCCCTGGAGGGGCTATGCTACCCTGGGCACTTCCTCCCAATGGGACGAGGTCTGTGGTCTGCTTGAAGATGACCTGGGAGGCCCCGAAGCCTTGTCACCACAGCTTCTCTTGATGGAGACCCAGGATTGCTGACTCTCCCCTCACCCCAGCGAGGCAGGGCTTGTCCCTTTGTCTAAGTGGGGACCAAGGCCGGCAGCCACACCGCACGTGGTCAGGAGCACACACTGGGGCCTCCTTGTGTGGACACCACAGTTGGAGCGGGGGCCGGGGGGCCACCTGGGCAGGACAAGGCGGGCAATGGGCCAGGTCCTCCTCCTCTCGGCCTCGGCCCCTCAAAAGGACCAGGGGGAACAGGCTAGGAAGGAGGCGTGTCCTGGGCCAGAGCCTGGCAGCTCAGGCTCTGCTGGACGGTGTGGCAGCGCCCTCTGCTGGCGCTGTCCTGCCTTGCAGCCGCAAATGGACGGGGCAAAGTGGACCACAGGGTGTGGACAGTGGGGCTCCCAGAGGGTCACTTGTGGCCCTGCCATGGTGTTGGGGCTGGACCAGGGTGTACGTGGCCCTGACAGTGCTAGGCTCACCGTGATGACAGCATGTGGACTGAGGCCAACGGTCCTGCGGGGAGAGGGCTGGAGGTCCTGGAGGAGAGGGCTGGGTTTCCTCCTCTGATCCTCTCTGCTGCAGACCCCGGCCCAGGGGGGCCCACCACCGTGGACGAGCGAGTGGCCCAAGAGGCCCTGGAAGCCCTGCAGCTGGAGAAGCGGCTCAGCCTCCTTTCCCACTGTGGCCGGCCGGGCAGTGGAGGTAGGGCGACCGCCGGGGCTGTGGGGAGGGGGCAGTGGCGTGGGGGCCCGGACGCCCCCCAAGTCGACCTCCACGCCTTCATTCCTCTCTCTCTGGTCATTCATTCATTCATTCATTCCTCTTCCTGCTGTTTATTAATTTGTCCCCCGACTCACGATGCCACAAACACTAAGCACTGTGTGGCCGTGAGAGCCGGCTGGTGAGTGGGTTTGGATTCCTTCCCACCCACGAGCCATGTGGCCTGGGTGAGGCTGCAGCCAATGCTTTTCGGTGTCACCATCTGTGCCCAGACAGAAAGGCTCAGGGTGCCAGCTGAGTGCTGGCCCTTGATAGTGTTGGGGGGGGGTCAGGGGGTGTACTAGATGGCAGCTCCAACCGAGGCCCCCATAGCCCCTACAGCAGCCTCAGCCCCTGCTCTCCATCTCAGGGGATGACCGCAGCCTGTCCAGCTCGTCGTCAGAGGCTAGCCACTCGGACGTCAGCGCCAGCAGCCGGCTCACAGCATGGCCAGAGCAGTCCTCGTCCTCTGCCAGCACGTCACAGGAGGGGCCTGGGCTGGTGGTGGCCCAGGCCTCCGGGGAGGCCGCGCTGGGCGCCTGGAGGCCACCCCCCAAGCCGCTCCGGCCGCGGCAGCTGCAAGACGTGGGCCGCCAGAGTTCCTCGGACAGTGGCATCGCCACCGGCAGCCACTCCTCCTACTCCGGCAGCTTCTCCTCCGTCGCCGGCAGCAGCCTGGATGTGTGGCGTGCCGGCGAAGAGTTTGGCTCGCTGCTCAGCCTACTGCCAGCGGCTGGGGCGCCCGAGCCCAAGCTGTGTGCCTGCCCACCGGGGACAGCCGAATACCAGGTGCCCAGCGCCCTGCGGCCCCATTACGACACACCCCGCAGCCTGCGCCAGGCCCCCAGGGACCAGACCCCGGCAGCGCAGGGCAGCCCTGACGACAGTGCCGCTGGGGACTCGGGTGGCCAGACGTCCACGGGGTGTCCCTCCGCCTGGCTGGGCGCGAGACGGCGGGGAGAGGTGACAGAGGCCCCGGGCAGTGAGGCGGTGCCGCCCAGCCCGGCCGCTGGAGGGCCCTTGGAAGCAGGCGGCTCCCACGCGGGACCCCCTCCGGCTTTCTTTTCCACGTGTCCCGCCTGTGGAGGACTCAAGGTAAACCCCCCTCCCTGAGCCAACACCAGCTGCTGCTGCGAGGGGGCTGGTGTTGCCCCTCTGGACAGGAGAGGAGGGGGCGCTGGGTCCCCACAGAGGAGGTGTCCTTTGTGCCGGTTGGCGCTGCCGGCAACTGTGCAGCTCGGTGGGGAGGGTGGGGCTGGGGCGACCACCCCAGGGCCGGCCTGCCTGTGGGGCGGAGCCTACCGTGGGGCGGAGCCTGCAGGACTCGGGAGGTTGGGCTTGGGTGCAGCTGGAAAGTGGAGGCTCTGGGTGGGGCAGGCGGGACCAGCAGAGCCCCGGCCCGGGATCAGGTGCTGGGCGGCGGGCGGGCGCTGCATCCCAGGGAGCTCCTGGCGTCCTGGGGGAGCTCAGGGGCCGGGAGGCCCCTCGCTGGCCAGCTCTTCCGCACCCTGCCCCACCTTTCAGCTCCAGGACCGCTGGCCCTTCCATCTCAGTCCGGGCCCCGCCCCCCATAGCGCAGTCACGATGCCCGCTAAAAATTAAATCCGTCCGCAGCAGCTCCAGACTCCCAAGTCCCCGGGAACTTGAGCCCGAGACTGACCTCCCTGCGTGTACGACAAGCTTCACCTGTTTGTCCCTCGCCTCCCCCCTTGCACCTGCAGGTGGCCCGTCCTATGGGGAGGAAACTGAGGCTCAGGAGGCCTAGGGACTTGTGAGGGGTGGGTCTCGTGACTCTGGACCCCCTTCCGGCTCACCCCACACCGGCCTGTTCCTCCCCGGATCTGAGTAGTCCCGGGGGAGGGGTGGGTGGGCCGTGCTGGCGTTGTGTGTGGTCGGCGTGGCAGGGTCAGCTTGCCAGGAGGCCCAGCTGCACAAGTGCTGGAAGGCCAGAGGTCAGGACCAGGGGTGCCCGGCTCCGAGGCCTGTCCCTTTGCATTCGGAGGGCTCAGGCTCTGCCTGTGGCCCTGCGTCCCTTCCGGCACCCTCCGCGTTCTGTCTGCTCACCTGCATGGAGTGCGGCTGCGTGGCCTGGCTCTGTGCGTCCGCCCTGCGATTCCAGAGGCACCTGAGAGCGGCGTGGCCAGTGCCACCGACTCTGGACTGCGCTTGGCTTCGTCCCACGCTCTCGAATCAGCTGGGTCCTGGCGGGCAACTCGCCTGTCAGTTCTGCTTCACACCTTCACTGTCGGCTGGAGACGTTCGTTGCTCTTTTACATTTTAAAAACCTGACACTTTGTAATAAATTCTTAGACTGGAAATAAAACGCTCTTTTCTTATTATCTTGTCCTTTTCCGTTTGGCCAGCCCTGGCCCTTCCAGCAGGGCCTTTGACTCTCTGAAATCCTGCGTGAGGCCGTGTGGTCTAGTGGGCCTTGAGGCTGAATGCGCAGCACGCGTGAAAAATGAGTGGTGGCTCCAGGACAGCCCAGGGCCAGTGTGTGTGCGCGTGCGCACACATTTTCATGTGTCGTGTGTGCATTCATTTGCATGCATGTGTCCTGTGATGCATGGTGTGTGCGCACAGATGTGTGTAACGTGTGTGCATGCACATGTGTGCATGTGTGTGCATGTGGTCTGTGATGTGTGTGCACACGTGTGGCACATTCCTGAATGTTCACTGGAGACCACAATGAGGTCCTTGGAAGTCCCTGGGGCTCAGGCAGGTGGCTGCTGTGTCCAGGTGAGGGGGATACTCTGCCTCCTGGGCCTGTGAGGGTGCTGGCCCGGTGCCTGGAGGCTGCCCCTCCTCCCGTCTCCCCCACATGGGCGGCTGAGCTCCAGGAACCCCAGCGCTGTCCCCCCTGCACATCCTGGGGCCACGCCCTGCCCTGGCATGCCCATTTTCACCCTTGCTTGCCCCCCTATGGGGCCAGCTCTGCCAGGGGTAGGGAGATACAATAGTCCTGGTAGGGCTCCTGCAGCACTGCAGCTGGGAAGGCAGGCTTTGGGGGCCGGGCTGGGTGGCCCCCGGCAAGTAACTACACCTGTCTGAGTCTCAGCTTCCTCTTCCATGGATGGGACAACAGTCCCTGCCTCCCTGGGCTCACCGAGGGTCTGGTAACATATGTGAACGCTCCGTGTCATCATCACCTCCACCCAGAGGGACCCTACCAGCTTTGTTGCAAAAAAAGGATGGGGTTTTGAGCTGCTGCTCCAAGCAAGCTGGGGTGGGGGTGTTGGCCCTGGAGGGCTGGGCTGCCTGCTCCCACTGGAGCCCCTTGTCATCGGGGCTCAGCCCTGCTCCCACGGGTCTCCTGCCCACAGACCGTGGGGGTGGGGCAGGCATCCCTCTGACCAGAGCAGAGGCCCCAGCGGTTGGGTGACGTCCCCCAACACCCCTGTGAAGTCAGGGAGGGCTGGCCCTGGGCTTCGCTTGCCCCCACCCCACCCCGTGTGGGCTCGAGTCTCTGTGACCGAGGCTGATAGCTGGGACTTGAGGGCAATCTGGCGGAGTGGGGGGAGGCAGGAGGGGTGGACTGTGGGCCGCCCAGGTGGGGACTTGGGCAAGTGGCCCTGGCCTTCTGGCATCAGCCCTTCGCTGAGGGAGGCGCCTGAGGACCTGAGTGGGTAGGGGCTGGGCTGTCGGAGTGAAATCCTCATGCGGAGGAGGGAGGGGCCCTTCATGGAGTGGCCACTGAGGGCCGAAGCCCTTTGGAGTCCTCATGTGATGGAGGAGGGCCCAGCCCCCCTACAGCTAGGGTGCCTCAGGGTCCCCTTAGATCCCTGGATGGCCTGGGGGGAGGGGGTGGGAGCACAGGGCCTCTGGCTTGGTGGAGCTGGGCAGGGTTGTCGCAGGAGACACTTACCTTTACCCAATCTCTTTCAAGTGTGCTTTTGGGGGTCCCTCCTGGCTCAGGACACCCCCGGGAGAGGCTCCAGTCTGCTGCTAGTTTTGCTCCCCCTCCCCGGGGGGTGGGGGGTGGGCAGTGTGGAGGCTTCTCAGGTACCATGAGCTTCCTGCTGAGTGTCAGGGCTGCGGCGACCAGAGGGGCAGACACTCACCAGGAGTCCTCCTCTCCCCGTCCCCCCACGGGGGTGGGGCCGCAAGAACCCCGAGTTAGTCCAGCCGGTGCTCAAGAGCCTGGCCCAGGACCAGGGTTGGGGGGCCGTGTCTTGAGTCTGGCAGCACCTTTGCCCTCCCAGAGAGCGGGTAGGGCTCTGCACCCCCATTCCAGCCCCCAGCCCCCTTGAGGCCCCCTGCTGGGGAGGCTGACCCTGGCAGGGGCCCGTCTTCTACAGGGCTTGGGAGACTGAGGCCCAGGCGGCTTGCATGTGCCAGCCACGGCCACCGTCCTCTCCTCCCAAGCTGCCGGCGGCAGAGTTCCAGGCTCTGAGGCCACCACAGTCCTTGGCCCCCTGGCTCTATGGGCACCTTGACCAGGCACCTGGAAGAGACCACTCTGCACTCTGCAGGGGGGCCTTGGCTCATGTCCCAGGGCCCCAGGCCAGGGAGTGCATGTCACACACAGCCTTTGCGCATCTCCCAGTGGCAGTAGGTGACAAGGCACGGCTGCGTGCAAGTAAAGCGATGTACAAGAACAGACTTGGTCTGGGGGCCCAAGTTGCCGACTCTTCTCCCCAAACAGGGTCATGCGGGTGTCAGGGCTCATGGTGAGGTATGAGACACATGGCGAGGGGCTCCTGGGAGATAAGGAGTCGGGGCCCAGGCTGGCCTCCTGTGGAGGTGGCCCAGCTCCCCATCCTGTGTTCCTCTTGGGGTTAGCGTGCCGGCTCGTGTCCTGAGTGCAGGATGAGTGGGAGCCTGATGGACAGACTGACATGTGCTCTCTTTGCTCTAGGGAGCAGCCGCCTCACCCCCTGGGCTCCTGATGCATCCAGGTAGGCCCGGCTTTGGAACCAGCTCCCACACAGCTGCGGGACGGGGGTCGGGGGACATGGTGGTCTCAGGGACAGCCTAGCCCGGAAGTCTGTACCAGACAGGGAGGGAGCAGCAGTGGGCAGCGGGCGACAGCGGCAGTGGACAGGGCGGCAGCATGCTGTTGGGAGAAGCCCAGCCTGGGTGGGATGGGGCCGGGCTGAATGCGGCCAGGCTGCCCGGGAAGGGTGTGTGGACGGAGTGGGCAGGGCCAGGGCTGTCCTGGAGCCCCAGCTTTGAGGAGGGAGCCATGTCCCTTAGGTGACAGAGAACAGAGGTGACTGATGGTCCAGGGGACCCAGCGATGGGCGTGGCGAAGGTGATCGTAGTGGGGGGAGGCCCAAGCTGGGAGAAGCGGGTAGGAGGTGAGTGCCAGGCAGACGCTGGCTCTGAGCCTAGAAGGAGGTTGGCCTGGGGTAGGGTGCAGAGGGGTGGCTGGAGGTCAGGGGTCAGCTGTGTGCTTTGTTTCCTCGGCGGGCCAGGGGTCGGGCCCTAAGGAGCTTAGATCCCACCATCATCTTCAGCGGCACAGGGAGTCTGTTTGGGGCCAGACCCTGCGGGCAGAGCAGGGCCCAGGCCGATCTGGTGTGGACATCAGGGGACAGGAGAGAACGGGCAGGGCCATGGGCAAGCCAGGGCAGACAGGGTCCCTGTCGGGATGCCGCCCTCCTGCCAGCTGCCCGCTTCTCAGAGCTGCCCCTGCCCTCCAGGTGCCTGTCACTCAGACACCACGTGTAGCCCTGGGGACAACGGGCGGGGATGTGGTTTCTGTCCCCCCAGCAGCCGCTGCCACGGCTCTCATTCTACTGGCTCTCTTTCTGCCGGCACTGGGGCGAGGAAGGGGGTTGTTTCCTGCGTGGGCTCCCCACACATGGGTGGATTTACAGAAAACTCTCGCCTCAGAGCAGGACTTTCTTGGGATTGAAAACAGCCCATCCTTTGCTTGACAAGGATGTGAGTGGCCAGAGCAGGGCCAGCTCCGTGACTTCGCCATGCCCACGCAGGCCCTGGGGAGCCAGGGGGAAGCGGCCATTGGAGGGCAGCAGGTCTCAGGCGGGGTGACCAACCCACCCTTGCCCATGTCAGCCTGAGTCTCCCATCCCGGGAACACCTGGGTCCTTGGAGGACGCGGATGGTGGTCCCAGCAGACTGGTCGCCGCTCCTTTTCTCTGCAGTAGGGCCACAGGCAGGCGAGTGCAGGCGCCACCACTCCCGGCTGCGTCTCCTGGAGGTCTGGCTCCGTCGGGGTCTGGGGCCACTCCTGGGAGCCCCGTGCCCCTTGGGCCTGTGCATATGAACCCTCCGAGGTGTCCCTGCTGGGGCCAGTGAAAGCAATGTGCAGGGACAGCCGTTTTCATCTGGTCGCAGGTCTTGGAGGACCCCAAGCATCAGTGCTAATGTGTTTAACTTCGGTAAAGTGGATACAACATCTGGAGAGGGAGTCCTGCCCCCCAGGGCCCATGCAGTGACAGGAGGGGTCTCCCTAAGGCCCCCGGGATGGGCAGGGTGGGGAGAACCGTATGACCTGTGTTGGTTCATGGAATCAGGTGGGTGAACCCACATGGACCTGGTCTGTCCAGCTCTGCCAGGGCAGCTGGCGGGACTCAGGGCTGCTCTGGCCTCTGTCTCTGTGCTGGGGACCAACAAACAGTCGGCGTGCCCCCTCCCCACTGGCCTTGCTGAAGGGCACCTGTGGACCTTGAGAAGGTGCCCTGTGCTGGGACAAGGCTGTGAGCAAGGAAGATCTGCCGGCTGGACACCCCGTTGGCCCCAGGGCTTGGCTCCCTCGGATTAGAGAGCAGGTGGCTCAGACAGGTCCCGTGGGGCTTCAGCCCTCCCCTGACCCCCCGCCACCAGATCCCAGGCCCCAATCCTGAGGCAGTTGGTCTGAGTCCCTAGGCCTAGCTGCGTCCTGAGGTCACTGGACCTCAGGGAAGAGGGAATAACTTGAGTCTGACTCCCTGAAATGGTGGCAGGTCCCCCACCCCATGTGGCTGTGCCCTTGGGGACCCTGGGGGGCAGGAGCGTGAGAGGCTGCTGGAGGATGGCTAGGTAGGGCCTTGCCCCTGGCCCCGTGACCGGGGTCCTTCCCCCTAACGCTGGGTAGCTACGTGAGACGTGAGACCTGAATCCTTCCAGAGCCGTTTCTTGGATGGAGAAAGGGGACTTGAAGTGCCTGGGGCCACCGCGGAGGAGCCGTCGTTGTGGGTGGAAGGGTGGGCCTTGCTCAAGGCAGGGAGCCTCCGTGGTGACCCACCAGTCCAAGGAGGGTCCCTAAAGCCTGGAGTAGGTGGGGTGACCCAGGAGGACAGCCAAGGAAGAGGGCTGAGGCGTGGACAGGGTGCGGGTGTCCTGCTTGCGGGGGCAGGGCACTGGGGACCCCAGGAGGAAGTGGCTGGGAGGGGTTGTGGGGTGGTGAGGGTCAAGGGCGGGCGGCAGGGGTGCTGAAGGCAAGGAGTGTGGTCACGGGCTTCAGTGGCATGGCGGACAGCTCTGCAGTGGTCAGCCCGGTGAAGCAGGCAGGTGTGCACTGGCAGACGCTCAGTGTGAAGGGGAGAGGCGGGCGGCTGCCTGGCTCAGGGAGGGGTGTGGGCGGGGTCTCAGGATGGGCAGCCGTCCAGGAAAAGCAAGGAGCCCCCAGGCCCTGGAGAGGTGGAGGGAGGGGACGTGAGGGCTGGGGTGGCTGGAAGCTCCTCGCTGCAGTCTTGGGGTCAGCTCAGCCTGTCCTTGCAGGAACCCCGGGGCCCGAGGCCCCCAGCTATGTGAACGTCCCCGCCAGCCCCTCCTCTCGGAAGCAGCTGCACTACCTGGGCCTGGAGCTCCAGGAGGTTGCAGCAGGGGTCCGAGGTGCGTCCCCACACGGGTGGACGGCCACTGGGGCCTTAACCCAAGCCCAGGGCTCCTCCCCCCAGCCTGAGCTGTGTCCCCACTCAGCCCCTCGGGTCCTGCTGGGTGGCGCCCCCGGTCCCAACACCCTGTCCAGGCTGAGGCCTTTGCTGGGAGGGGTGGGCTCTGTGAGCTGTGACGAGGGCTGACTCATCTGGGGCTGCTTTCAGGGGCTGGCGGGTCGCACTACGCACAGATCGACCTCGCGGCCACGGCGGCGGCCCACAGGGCGGGGGCCCAGCACGCACAGGCCCGTGAGGAGCGACTGGCTGAGCTGGAGCCCAAGAGGAAGGGGACCCCGCGCTGAGGCCTCCACGACTAGACAGCCACGCGGCCGGCCGACAGCGGGTCCGAGGGAAGCTGGCCTCCTGGCAGTCACCTGTGCCGCGTCCCAGAGGTCTGGGCTCCTGCTTCATGGCCTCCTGGCCACAGGGTGGGCATGGCTGGTTCCGAACCCTCCCCGCCTCACTGGCCCCGGTGCACAGAGCTGCCCCTTCCTCTGGCCTTAACAAGTCCCTCTGGACCCCAGGTGGGAGGCAGCATCCTGGCTGCAGGTGGCAGGCGGCCCCGGGACGCAAACCGCCCTCCTCTCCCCAGAGGTGGTGCCGCCCAATTGATGACCCGGCCGGGCCCCTCACATGCAGAGCTTCCCGCAGCGCTGGGTGCACGGACCTCCAGCTGACCCGCGCCACTCCTGGGGCATCGGCGCCGAGCCTGGGACGGTGTGGCGGCCAAGCCCCGACACAGGAGGACTGTTCCACGTTCCGACCTGCCAGGCCACCAGGGTGGCCCCCACACGCGTTTACTGGCTGCATGGCTTCTTGGGACCCATTACAGTTAGTCATGTAAATAGTTTAAAATCCTTAATGTTCTATTTTTAACAATGCACATTATTTTCCTGAAGAGCAAGCTTTCTCCCGTGTGCCGTGTGCAGTGGGCTGAGGCTTTGCCTGGCGGACCCTGGACACAGTCCTGTCATCCTGACATGGCCGAGGGGCTCAGGGCCAGATCGGCCCCACCATGGCGGGTCTGGGTGGGGGTTTCCACATGTTTCTCCCTGATGATGCCTGTGGCTTTGGGGAAGTCAGGTGACATTTCCGTGACTCAGTGAGCTGGGGGGGGTGGCCCCCCGAGGTCTGGATGCTGAGAAGCTGCCAGAGCTGGTGGTGGGATTCCTGGCATTCCTCCCTAGGCCTGCGGCGTGAGAGTGCAGCCCCGGGCTGCGTCCTCCTGGTCTCAGAGATGGGGCTCTGCTCTGCCTGGCC